CCCCAAAACCCCAAAACCCCAAAACCCCAAAACCCCAAAACCCCAAAACCCCAGACCTGGTTATCAAAATTGAATAAACCTATAGACACCAGATTAAGATTTAGAATAGTTATCTTATTGAAGTGTGTTAATTGGTAGGAACTCATTGTTGCCGTCATCTCAGAAAATCCCATTACACGTATTCTCAAAAGTTAGTCCAAATACATCTCCAGAGGGCTCCCCGAAAGTTATCTTAGAGCCCTGTAAAGATGCGTTATTTGGTCTATCAAGATCTTCCTCGATATTGGCTAAAGCGTCCATCTTCGGGATCTCGATCTTACTGCCGATGATCTCTAAGTTGAACTCTCCTGGAATACTATCTCCTAGCATTGAAGAGTATTGGGAGTCTAAATTTTCGTCGCCATCAAAACTTCCGTAATCTTGTGCGATGACAAACTCTCTATTTTCTTGAGCATTCTCTTCTTCGATTTCTTCAACTAAGGGTTCAAGCCCTCATGAATTTTCTATTGGATTCCGTTGGAAGTTTAAATTATCATATTTGAAGAAAGAACAATTCCTCTCTACTTTCTCCTTCTCAGAATAATTTACTAGCTCAGACATCTTTTGCTCAAACAAGAGATCTCTGATTTTCTCATGTTTGCGGAATACATCTGCCTTGACATACTTAACCTTAGGGTTTCTTCTAATGCCAAGATTTAGTGAATTGTCCTTCTGTGGGCATACTAGACTCTTACTTTTCTTCATAGGAATATCAGCCAAAGAGCTCTTATAAGTAGACTTAATTCTCTTCTGTTTATTAGCATATGTGATAAAATATCAAGCCTTTTCGTTTCAATCAGGGTTAGATCACCTCTCTAAATCAGACATGAGTTGGTTTATCCTCAGAATAGGTGAAAGGAAATTCAAAATATTTTGGAAAAATTGTTAAGAAACTAACCATACCTTTCTTATGATTTCCCATTTTCAAATTTCATGGTGTTAGCTTCTGATTCCTGAAAAATGGAAGGTCTTGGTCTTTATCAACCCTTGGATTCTTCCTTGATTTGCGAGTATTTCTAGACCTCTTGTTTAACGTGATATAGTCAGTCTCTTCCCTGGTTCCTCAGTCGGAGCCTCTGAAGGGAAGATTTTCGTACAGAGGGTAGCTCTTCCTCTTCTTGGTGAGGGCCTTAACGCATGTCTTTCTAGGCCTATCCTTGAGCATCTTGAGCTCCATATTTTGAAGAACATTGAGTTCTTCGCTAATCACATTTTCATGGAAGTTGTCATAAGTTTTAACATTCTCCTTCTTCTGTATCAAAGATCCGCAGTCAAGATCTTCTTCCTCTTTAAGCTTCTGTCTCTTCCTTTGATAGTTGTCTGGAATGAATTCATAGGTGACATTTATTAATGAAGCAATATGACGGAGAGTGCCATTCGGGACTTTCCGTTCGACTAAAAACTGGTAATAAGTCCCTTGTTTGTCCGAGGAAACATCTAATTCTGGCTCAGACTTCCTCTCATACTTAGCATACCTTTTGATACTTTTCATATTGGGTTTTAATCTAACAAATGAAATCTATAAAATTAGGCTCATCAATAATTAAATATGATCTGGGGTTTTGGGGTTTTGGGGTTTTGGGGTTTTGGGG